CACAGAAAACAGTGTAGAGCTAATCATTAGGGAATCACTAATCATCAGGGAAATTCAAAGAATATGTGCAATGAACTATCATTTCATACCTGTTGGGATGACTTCTATCAAAAAAAAATCTCCAAAACCCAGAAAGCAACAAGTGTTGGTGAGGATGTGGAAAACTGGAATCCTGTACACTATAGATAGGGCTGTAGAATGATATATCTGCTGTGGAAAACAGTGTGGTGGTACCTCAAAAATATTAAAACTAAAGATACCATATAATCCAGCAATTCCACTTCTGGGTATGTATCCAACAAAATTGAACACAGTGTCTCAAAGAGATATTTGAATATCCATGTTCATAATAGCATTATTCATAATAACTAAAAGGTGGAACCATCCCAAATTGTCAATCAATGGACAAAGTGGGTAAGATATGTATATAGTAGAATATTATTCAGCCTTTAAAAGGAAACACATATGGCATAAATGGAGCTTGAGAACGTTAAGCTTAGTAAAATAAATAAAAAGAAAAACTTTGTGATTCTACTTATGTGAGATATTTACAGTAGTCAAAACCATAGGGACCAAAAGCAGAATGGTGGTTGCCAGGGACTGGGAGTAGGGAAGAAAGAGGGATTATAGTTTAATGGTACAATTTCAGTTTTGTGAGATGAAAAGAATTCTGGAGATGGTTGCACAAAATAATATGAATGTAGTTAATGCCACTGAATCATGCAGTTTAAATGGTTAAGATAATAAATTTCATGTTATGTAAAAACCTGGGGTAAAATAATTCATAAAGAGAAGAAAGTCACTGATGCTACTAAGGAGTCATTTAAAATTAGGCTGTTTTTTAGAAAGTAGGTTATAGTAGAGTCCTGGACAAACATGTGCACAGTCAAATAAGGTAAAGAGGGAGAGTTTAAATAAAGGAATGTCTTCAAAGGTATGAACAAATTAAGGGAAACCAAGGGGAACAATAAAACCTCCCAAGACCAGCCAACTGGGAAGTCATTACTACTCTTTGTCTAAGTGGCAAGTGGGGAATTAGCTATGAGGATCCAGAGACAACAGCTGGACCTGAAGGCCCCTGATTAAAAATGCTTTGATTTTTGCTTAGAAAAAAATAGCTAACTCAATGCCTGGGAGGGAGTAAAGGAAATGAGGGAAGCAGGAACACAAACTCAACCTCCTCACTGTCTACATTTTCTGCTGGGTGCCTCTCACTGGTCAAACACAGCTGGAAGATGGAAGGCAGAGGAGCTCAGCTAATGCACTCCAAAGACATCAGACTCCTGGAGAATGGATCTCTTGAGACTAATGAGACAAATCCAAGGAATGATTGAAGCAGGTTTTAGGAGCTGAGGATGGTCTTTGACCAACAGCCAACAAGAAGCTGAGGCCCTGTGTCCAACAGTCTATGAGAAACTAAATGCTGCCAATAACCATAGGAGCATATACTTGCAGTAAAGCCTCGGATGGAAATGTATTCCAGACTAAGTTTGCAACTGAACTTTTGTGTGAGACTATGAAGCAGAGAATCTAGTTAAGCTGGGCTCAAACTCCTGACCCACAGAAACTATGAGCCAAAAAATATTGTTTTAAACTGAGGGAAAGTAAATAAAAAGAAAAAATACAATGTGACCAAATTATACTTAAACTGGAATATGGCAAAAATAACAGAATTCTTACAATCCAATAGAACTTCTTTTTGACTGCAATCCTCTTTTCCCTATATATCCTTTAAAAATAGTCTAATGATTTAATTTTATTAAAACAATATTGAAAAAGTATATTATGGAGTTTCTTTGCAGTCATTTTCTTTTGCTTACTAGAAACTATTAGAGATTATGGGCTTCCCAGGTGGCACAGTGGCAAAGAATCCACCTACCAATGCAGGAGACGCAGGTTTGATCCCAAGGTCAGGAGGATGCCCTAGAGTAGGAAATGGCCACTCATTCCAGTATTCTTGCCTGGAGAATCCCATGGACAGGGGAGACTGTCGGGCTGCAGTAGCACAGGGACATGATTGAGCACACACACAAAATGTATGTATCTGTGTGGCTGATTCCTTTTATTGTACAGTAGAAGCTAACACACCATTGTAAAGCAACCGTACTTTAATAAAAATTTAAAAAAATAATTAATGACATAAAATAATTGAGCCAGTAATTTTACATCCTCTCTAAATTATCTCTTTTTTTTTTTAAGATCCAGAGCCAGTAAAATGGACAATTACTGTTAAACCCATTACGTCTCAGCCCATAATCTCTAATATGTGTGTGTGCGTGTGTGTGTGTGTGTGTGTGTGAAGTTGCTCAGTCATTTCTGATTCTTTGCGACCTCATGCATTCTATCCCGATAGGCTCCTCTGTCCATGGGGTTCTCCAGGCAAGAACACAGGAGTGGGTAGCTCTTCCCTTCTCCAGGGGATCTTCACGACCCACGGAGAGAATGCGTGTCTCTTGCTTCTCCTGCATTGGGAGGTGGATTCCTACCTGGAAGGTCCATACATACACATCTATGCCCCCTTTCCTTTCCCTGCCCGTTCAGGTCACCACAGGGCCCTGAGTAGGGTCCCGTGCACTGTCCAGTATGTTCTCACTGATCGTCTATTTTATACCTAGTATCAGTACTGCATATATGTCAATCCCAACCTACCAATTCATCCTACTCTCCAGTTACTCCCTTGGTATCCATGTGTTTGTTCTTTACATCTGCGTCTGTATTTCTGCTTTGTAAATAAGGTCATCTATGCCAATTGTTCTCAGATTCCACATATATGCATCAACATACAATATTAATTCTTATTATTCCTTGCTTCTAATTTTATATATGGACAAAAGTTTGCCACATGTTGTTACTAAGATCTTGGGCATTTTTTTTTTAATCTTTGCTTTTAGTAAAAGAGAAAATGGACATTATTATTCTATAGCTGGGCCAATAAATCAAGATAGGTTTGGTTAAACAATCCCTCAGTTTTCAGTAGTTTAACAAAATAGAGTGTACTTTTCAGTCACTCAATGCCATCTGTGAGTAAAAGGGAGCTCTGTCAATAGATGACTTGGGCTCTCTCAACATCTTAATCTTCCACAAGAAATCTTCCACAACCAACCTCAAAGGGCAGAAAGAGATAGAGGTAAGGCATTGGTAAGTAACTGTTTCAGACTGAAATATTTAACCTTTGCTAACACTCAAGTAACCAAAGACGGTCCTATGACCACATCTTATTACAATGGGGCCTGCAGGGCTTCCAAGGTGGCACAGTGTTAAAGAATCCACCTGCCATTTCAGGAGACACAGGAGACTCAAGTTTGATCCCTGGATCCGGAAGATTCTCTGGACTAGGAAATAGCAACTAACTCCATTAGTCTTGCCTAGAGAATCCCATGTTCATAGGAGCCTGGTGGGCTGCAGTCCATGGGGTCACAAAGAGCTGGACACGACTGAGCATTAAGCTCTGTCGGTCAGTCCCGCTGGTACCCAGGAGGAAAGGAGTCCTGGGAATATTGGCGGTCAGCTGTGATGTTGGCAGCGCCTTCTTTCAAATGTTTTCAGATTGACTATTGTTAGAAATGAGGTAAAATAATACCTTAAGAAAAAGATTTATTTCTAGATTCTTGCATCCTTTTTCTCATTGAACTCTGAAAAGTCTCATAGATTTCTAAGGCTTTGTTTATTGCTTTTGTTTTGTTTTTTAACCATGAGGATGCATATTTCTTCCATTTATAGAGTCAAATACTATGATTGTAGGAAAAAAAATGAGCACTTGATCTATTTTTCATAGTATTAATGGGGATGATTAAATATTTACAGATGATTTTGAGAGTTAACAGTCACTTTCGCCCTCATCAAGATCAATACTAATGACACTGGGAAGCCACTTTTTCATTACGTAAAGTCAATAAGGATGATACAGATCTACATAAAATGGGAAAACAAGGGCCACTGCACATTTTATTGAAACTTAGAATATGTATAAACAAGATTAACATGAAAATAGCCGATCAAAATAACTAGATATAAATGGAACCTTAAAAAAACCTTCAAGGTTAAGAACATGTTTCAATCTTATTCATTCCAGCTTTAAAAGATAAAGTAATACCTTTAAAAGTAATACCTTTAAAAGGTATTACTGGTTTTTCCCCCAGCCTCTGGTAGCAACATCCTTACTCCTATGCTTTACCCAGGTTGTGGGTGATTAGATCCAGATGGACTTGGAACGAGCTTTGTGGGGTGCATGTGTGGGTGCTAAGTCACTTCCAACTCTATGCAATCCTATCGACTGCAGCCCACCAGCCTCCCCTGTCCGTGCGATTCTCCAGGCAAGAATACTGGAGTGGGTTGCCATGCCCTCCTCCACAGGATCTTCCTGACCCAGGGATCAAACTCCTGTCTCAGGCATCTGCTTCTTTGGCAGACAGACATTTTACCACTTGCGCCACCTGGGAAGCGCCAGCCTTGTGTATCTATCCTCTAAGATAACCAGAAGGTGAACAGTTAGAAAGGATTGTGGAAAAAGATCATGGAATAAAGTTGAAAGCAGTTTCCATGAAGCTTTTTTATTATGCCTGTGCTTTTTGTTCAGGCTGATTATACTTAGAGCAGAGAGCACTGTGCTGTTAGAAGCAGAGGGTAGCTATTTGAAGAGCTTTTGTATGAAGACAAGCTGGGATCCGAATCCTGAATTGATTCCGACTTGATCAATAACCAGCTGTGTGAGCTGGTGGAAGCCATTTTAATCTGTCTCTGCTTTTCCCTCATGGATAAGATGAGAATGGCAACATCTCCTCTCATGGAGTAAACTCATAGGAAGTGTCCATCCTACCGACGCCCTTCCTTCCTTGCCGTGTGTGTGCACTTTGCGTGCATGTGGACAGAGGCACTCGCAAAAACAATCATCAGATGTTTAGTATGGTTGGATGCTGTGCTGTGGGCTTTATCTACATCATCGCATTTAATTCTCAAAACAACCCTATAATGTAAGTCCTCTTTTTATTTTGTTTTCACAGAAGGAAGCCAAGGACTTAAAGAAATGAAACAAATTTCCCCAAAACACACAGCTAAGGATCTTAGTAACCGACTCCAGGACATACATTCTTAATCACCTTAAGAATGCAAACAGACTTGCTATTTTGGGAAATGTAAAGTATTTTATATATGTGCATGTCTTGGACAGGTTTAGTAAAAAAGGACTTGTCCATTGTGCAGAGTATCATTATCTCTCCTGTACTGGCTGAATATGTATAAAACAGGGACAAATGAATTTGAAGAGTTCCTCTTAAGCAAATCAGATAAAGATAGATCTATGATGGTCAAAGTGGCCATTGCGGTGTAACCGTCCGTGGGCCGCTCACAGCCTTAGCCATGATTTGAGCACCCCCTGGATTGTCCCTCATCAGCAGACTCCTTCCTAAGCCAGGTTGAGTAATCATTGCCACTGCTGTTTTTACAATCTTAAAGACTCTAGAAAAACCTGGTTCTATGGGGCTTCCCTGGTGGTTCAGTGGTTCAGTGGCTAAGGTCCATGCTCCCAACGCTGGGGACCCAAGTTCTGTCCCTTGGGGAACTACATCCCACCTGCCATAACTAAGATCTAGCTCAGCCAAATAAATCAATTTAAAAAATTAAAAAGAAAACCAAGGATGCTGCAGTTATGTGATTGCCACAAATCTTTAAGTGATTTGTGGGACCTATCTGATATGAGCAGAAGTTTTCCATCCTGAGGACCATGTGGGAATAAGAGAAGGCATCTGGAGCTAATGGAGTGGGGGTGGAGTGGAGAAAGGAATAAAAATGCTCCCACTTACAGGATGGTGTCTGTCAACCTGTGGTCATGGTCAGATGGCTGGATGCCTGAGGATGCACACTGGCAAGAAAATAGCATAATAAGGAAAATGTGAACATGAAGACATCCCTGGAGGTAATTATATTTATAAAAGTTGAGGACTGAGCAAGTCTAAATATCACAGATAACATAAGAAAGAACTCGCCTTGGGACTTTCTCTGAATTGCCCAGTGAATTTGAAGAGGACTTCAGGAGCACTGCCCTCTGACCCCAGAGTTAGAGAGCTCGCCACTCTCAGCTTTTCAGCTGCCTGCGTAGGTCATTCTGAGCTACCTGATCTGCAGGGTTCTTGTGATGCTTAGAAATATCCTTTGTAAAATGTTATATCCAAGTCGGTATTCAACAAATGGTTCATTCATGCTGCTAAATTTCTGTGATACAGGTTTGCTTTTGCATTTAGGGGGCACTCTAATTAAAAATAAACTCTCCTCTTGTGTGCACTCCCTTGCCCTCTCCAGAAGTGACTGTCATTCTTAATCCATCTGGGAGAAACTGGGGGAAAAGAGAGGTCTCGGGGTGCACACTAGGTCAGGCTTGGATGTCGTTCAGTTCTGCCAGCTCCTTTTGCAAGGATAACTCTTGCCTACTATGTCTTCCCCATGTGAATATAGGGAACAATCCAGCCAGGTGGTAGAAATTAAATACTTTAGCCAAGAATAACACCCAGATTCTGAGATTTGAACACCAATTATCAGGAGGTTCAAAGCACTGATTTATCCCAGTCCCTGCTCCCCTTCAAGCTATGTAAGTAGCTCTAATGATGAGCAATCGAGGACCAGCGCCTTCCCTCCTGTTCATTACTCTCCAACAAGATCTTAAGTTGATAAGGCCACCCTGAAAAGGCAAGATCAGCTGTAGACAGGGGAGCAGGTACATTTATCAACTGCTTTTGTTTGCTGAGTCAGGGATTGCCGTTGGTTTTAACTTTTTTTCCCTATGTAAGAACTTATTTTTTGGTTTCTTTATATTTAGGGGGTGGTGATCTACTTTTGACAGCATTTTCCTTTATGGTACCTGAAACAAGCACTTAACCTTTTCTCCAAGTCTCCAAACTAGTGTCTTTTCAATAAATTGTATATATTATGCAATGAAATGCAAGAGGATTGTCTTATCGCCTCTTGTTCCCAAATACTAGCATATGCCTAATTAATATGGGTATATTCCATAAATCATATGTGCCAAGGAAAAACGATGTAACCAGGGAAAACTTTACAGAGAATATCAATCAGATCCTGGTACTTGTCATTTAAGTAGAGCACAATTCTCTCAAGGTTTACCAGCCTCTCTCCCAGCACCGGCCACAGTATTTAGAACCATTAACTCCTTGGGCTCTCAACCCTCAGAATAAATGAACTCCATCTTACTCTTTTTCTTTTTTTATTATTCCTGGGTTTTTGTGTGTGTGTGTGTGTGTGTGTGTGTGTGTGTTTTTTGTGGGGGGTGGGGGGATTTTTACACTGTTTTGCAAGTCAAATAAGTAAGTTCAGCAAAGGGAACGTGATTTAAAAAAAAAAAAATCAATGCATCGTCCTTATTTGGCAGCGCTTAGTTTGGCTAATTACTAGGTCCAGGTAGGAAGCGCAGCTAATGGGGCTTAGCAACAGATGGGGAGCCGGTACAAAGCTGTGGGTTCTTCCTCCGCCTGCGCTGTGACTTCCTGCGGGGTTGAACAAGTCATTCAACCTGTTTTTGATTCACTTCCCTTTCACTAAATTATGGATAATAATGCCTACTAGGGATGTCAGACATTGTTGAGAAGAATAGTTCATAGGAAGATCACAAAGCACTTTCAAAGGGTGGGAACGCTCTCTAGGCAGAGGCGCCGCAGAATCCAGCTGCATGGGAGGTGACGCCCCTTGCAGTCAGGTTCTCTGTTCCCCATTTAAAACCAAAATGAATGCAAATCTGAAAGTGACTTTGCATTTACCATGCATCCCCTTTGCCTCTCAGGCATTCTATCACTAACTGATTGTAACTATGCAAATGATACCGTTATCGGTGCCACACACTGGCGCGTCTGGACTGCGGCACCAGCAGTTTAAAATGCTTGATGAATCCGAGGCTGATTGGCAGCTCCAAACTTATCTGTGACCTAATTTGTGGTAAGGAAGTACATGCCGATGTGGATAAGGGCAAAACCAATGACAGAAGGCTTTCTTTGAGGTTTGAAAAGATTTGAGGTTTGGTTGCCACAATGTGGGGGAAAAAAATAATAGTTTTAAAAGTCTATATCTGGAATCTGGATTGAAAGCAAAATTCGCTAAATGCACCAAGAATTTTGAAGTTCTAGAGAGTTTCCCGCAGTAACAGTAATCCTGAGATAAAGAATGGGACCTGTTTCGACTGCAGCTGACAGTCGAAAACAGCTGATTGCAGAGGAATGATAGGTGGTGATGATTTCCTGTTGTGACAGAGAAGAGAAATCTGCTTGTCCCCATGGCAAAGAATCCACAGATTCGCTTTAGTAACCCCCGGGTGCTTTAAGGGCTGGGTCTAGTGTTCACATAGAAACATACACATTTAAATAAGCTCTTAGATGACTTAGGGCTGAGAAGGAAATCTGAGGACACCAGCCTTTATTGATTGCTTTCTGGGTTGACGATGTTGTCATGCTTTATAGACGGTGTTATTGAGGCCCACAGAGGTCAAGTGATTTGCCCACGTTCACCGAGCTGGTGGAGCTGTGAGCAAACACACAGCCTCCGCTCTTTTCACTCTCCTGGGCTGTCTGTAGGAGACGTCGTCTGGATCTGTGCTCCACCTGTGGAGAGAGAGAGGCCCGCTGACCTGGACAGCACCCCAGGCCAGAGTACAAGGGGCAGTCCTTTGGTAGACTCGCCCAGTCGCCTGCTGTTTGGAGCTCAGCGCGTTAGTCTCATGGGAAGCTCGGTCGTCTCCCATCCTCTGAGCCCCTCTTCTCTGCGCGGGCCCCGCCAGCTCTTGCTGCCGCTACTTCCCAGTGATCAACAGTATTTTATGTTTCCTCCGTTGCGCTTCACTGCGCCTTTGTGGTCCGTGTGCCCACCTTCCGCGTGCAGCTCGCCTTCATGTTACTGAAGGGCCGTTGTGTTTGTGGCCCGTTATTATGTTCTTGAACAGCCCCTATGAAGTGGGACTTAAAGCCGCCAGTTAGTAGGGGAACAGACATTAACCATCACTTCTCTCCCTCTCTCTCACTAGGACCTTTATGATTGTTATATATTTAGAACTTCAAACCCGAAGTCTGTTTGTTGCTTTTTAAATCACCGGTTAAAATGCCATCTAGCTACCATTAATTGAGCATTTATTATCAGCAAGGTCCTATAGTAAACGAGTTACAGAATTACTTCACTTATATCACAAAATCACCCAAGGAGGCAGCTTTTGGTATTAAATCCATTTTACAGAACAAGTGATTGAGGTTTATGATGATGAAAGAGACTGCGTAAGATCACAGAACCATTTCCCTGCAGCATTAGGTCTTAATCTCAGATCTTGTTCACAGCAAAGTCTTGAATCTACTAAAATCTTAACTTCCTTCAATTCCTAACTTTACATATTTTGTGCGTCTATATATGTTAATATAATTCTTGGAACTCAGGTCTGCTCTACCTCTATATCCACAGTATTTGGCACAGTGCCCACCATGATCCCTTAAAATTCAGCTCAGTTCAGTTCAGTCCCTCAGTCGTGTCCGACTCTTTGCGACCCCATGAATCGCAGCACGCCAGGCCTCCCTGTCCATCACCAACTCCCGGAGTTTACTCAAACTCATGCCCATCGAGTCAGTGATGCCATCCAGCCATCTCATCCTCTGTCGTCCCCTTCTCCTCCTGCCCCCAATCCCTCCCAGCATCTGGGTCTTTTCCAATGAGTCAACTCTTCGCATGAGATGGCCAAAGTACTGGAGTTTCAGCTTCAGCATCAGTCCTTCCAGTGAACACCCAGGACTGATCTCCTTTTCTTTATTGTGAGCAAAGTGAGTGAAAGTTGCTCAGTCGTTTCCGACTCTTTATGATCACATGGACTATACAGTCCATGGAATTCTCCAAGCCAGAATACTGGAGTGGGTAGCCTTTCCCTTCTTCAGGGGATCTTCCCAACCCAGGGATTGAATGCAGGTCTCCTGTGTCTCCTGCATTGGGATTCTTTNCAATTGCATTTCATAACTATCAGATTGTACTATTTTCAAAAGAGTTGTTTTTCTGCATTTGCCCAAATCCAACAACCAGCTCTGAAAGTTACGTATCTTGCACATTTTAATTAGTCAAAATGTCTCTTACTTATTGAAAAGTCAGAGCCCAAGCAAAGATCTAGCTATTGGCAGTGGAGGAGCATTACTGAGTAACGTTCTGTCTTACAAACATAATTTATTGTTTTGAGCTAATAAGTGTTGATATAGTAGTGGCCTACAGCATGCCTAAGCAATAAGGCATGATTGGATTCTCCCACTGCCTGCTGCCTGGGGTCCATTGTTGGGGAATTTTATAATCACAGCAACTTCCAAATATATTACTCTAACTTGTTGTTCCTTTCCCACATTGTGATAATCACCTGGGTTGCTCATTTTATATCTGTTAAAAAAATCCCCTTGCCTCTTAAGTCAAGCAACTTCATATCAAATATTTGCAGGCCTAAACCATTAAAAGAAAGAACAGAGATCAGAGTGTGCGCATTCTGCTCTGGGTATTGCAAGCTTTTGTTTCATTATTTCTTGCCCTCAGCTCCTCCCTCCAGGGAGTTTGTCCCTCTTGAATCAAAATTTCTTTCACCTCAGTCTGCAGTAACACTTTCTTCTTTTATTTTAGATTTTTAAAAAGCTATCTCAGGAATTTTGGTGTAGCTCCTGATTCAGCTGCATTGATGGTAATTGCGAGGGGAATACAAACTGAACTCAAGTGTAACTCCACTTAAATTTACTTCCCTTGAGAGAAGAATTTCCAAAGCTGCCAGTCCAAAGGATTATATAAAATTTGTGTTTATAAGAGCAGCCCTTCCTTTTATTTTAAAATGATCCAGAGTACTATGAAAATAATCACCGGTTCCAAAGCGGGTGGGTGAAGTTTGTCTGTGGTTAAGAAAAAAACTAATGGGTCTTGAGAGCCTTCCTTTTTGTTTAAAAATAAACACTGGTATCTGAACAAAATATAGTGAGTGCACAGCTATTCTGTTTATAGACCTCTCTACAGGGACTTTCTTCTGCATGGAGACAATCTGTGAAGATCATTGCTCCCTTTTATTTAAAGATGATGGGTCTCTTCTGTTCCCTTTATATCTTTATTTCTATATCTGTGATTGTAGGTGACGCATTAGAGAGCTAGAGTTTGCTATAGATATTCATATTGGTAGCGACAGATATAGACATAAATAAATTAAGTCTGAGGGATGACCAGTGGCCCCGCACGAGGGTTTCTTGGTTTTTTGTACTGTGTACTCTTGGATGGGACGTGACCATACTGACACATTAGAAATCATTTTGAGTGATAAACTGTCATCATTTTGTGCATGCTCAGTCATGTCTGACTCTTTGAGACCCCATGGACTGTTTTATTTTGCAGGAGTTTATTGACATCATAGCTACCTGTAAGGCTCTGGGATTGGTAAACTGGATGAATAAAACTGGGGAATAGATTTCTAAACAAGCAAGGATCCCGAGTATATGAAGTAAGGACGGGATAAGTAAGAATGTCAATATATTTGCATGCTCAGGTTGGCTAGACCTGCAGAAACCATTCTTATGAGGGAAACCTTCATGGTGGATGTTGCACTTCAAAAACACTTTGAGTGAAAGTAGAATTGGTGAGGCGAACATTGGCAGGATAGGCCCACATGGGATTTAAGTAAAAGGCCAAAATTAGAAAATGTTATCTGGAAACTTTGGAGGAAGCATGCTGTTTTAAAGTATTACATTTTTCCTGAAGGCCTTAATGTTGTACCTAATCCCCCTCTT